TGTGTGCGTGTATGTGTCTGTGTGTGTATGTGTGTCTGTCTGTCTGTCTATGTGCGTGTATGTGTCTGTGTGTGTTGAGTCGGATCCCTGGTCCATCAGCCTCCCTCTCCTCACAGTATGAAGGACAGACTGACATATTCACTGCATGTCTTAATTCAATGGGTCTACAAGTCTGTACTCATTTAAAAAAACACAAGGGATCTCTCTCGCGAATAATAAATGCTGGCTCATGAGGGAAAGTTGAAAAGAGACAAGCTGCAGCACTACGGAGTTGCGCAGACGAAATTTTATTCATTGCAACAACCCCGGCTAATCAATTTGTTATTCATGGGTGTATGTCTTTTTCCCTCTCTATCTTCTTTAAAAAGCAAACAAGAGGAGCACAGATGTTCGGCAGATAGGGGAACCGGCTCACTGCTGGGCTCGGCTGAAACTGTTAAACGGGGAGAGGCGGAGCCACCAATCCATCAACATTGACTTGAGAGTTGTGTTAGCGAAGTTTAAGGAACATATGGCGCCGGGCTGTTTTCATGCAATGTGTGTGCGTGTGTTTTAAAACAGTATAGTGCTACCGAGGTCACCTTGATGGAACCTCTCCTTAATCAGCCCTGCTCACCACCAGCACAAACACCACCCCCGTCCTCTCCGCCGGACCCCAGTGAATTCTTTAGCCAGTGCCAATTCAATCATAATCCACACCATCTTAACTTTTCCAAGGCGAGAGGGGTACGCCCCTCTGCCCCAAGATAAACCGATTTAACAATCACACTCCCCACTTCCCCTCCATCTCCCACCTTATTTTATCAGCCTAGTCTCATCTCGAAAACTGTTTTTTTGTATATAATTTAGCAGAACTGGATATCAAACTGCGCGCTGCTAATTGTTTACTGTGGGCTATCTTTCCCCCCTTCCTTGTTAAATACACAAAACACATGTCTTTCTTTTCTTTAACGCTTACGTCTTTAAGGGATTCGATTATACGGTCAGACTCCCTGAATAAATACTAATTCGTTCCCCATTCGCTAATACTCGACCCTCGGGGTGAGGCGGATTATACAATGGGCTGAATATGCATCTGAAGGAGGCGTTTGTATATAGATACTTTCGTTTTACGAAAAAATAACTTAAAATGCACGCATATCACAAACAGAAATTGCTGGGGAAGCTCAGCAGGTCTGGTAGCATCTGTGGAGAGAGAAACAAGAGTTAATGTTTAGTGTTTCATATGGACCTATTATCATGTATCTATATTTGGGCAAGACCGGTTTCCGTTGGCTCGTCCTGGTTTACTTAGTGCCACGCTAATAAACTGTAAGTGGAAGTCATTGGGAAAGTTGTGAGAGATGCCATGGCATAGAATTTTTAAAACAAAATCAGCAATATGTTCGGGTACTGAATGCATTGCCTGAAAGGATCGCGGGCACAACGTATACAAGGACTACTTAAAAGAGCTTAAACACGGACGACGGGCCGAATGTCTATGTTCTAATCAACCTGTTCAGAGATGTTTCTTGCATATCTCTGAGGCAGGTAGGGCTTGAACCTGAGCCTCCTTATCCAGAGATAGGTACATTACCACTGCATCACAACAGCCCATCTTTCCCTGTGTCTATAGATATAAACAGCATGTTCAGTATGGTTACTATACACCTCTGGAGCAGGTGGAACTTGAACCGGAGACTTCCGGCCTACCCTACCCCTGCACCGCAAGACTCCTTCTGTCTATACCCCACCAGCTTTCTGGTAAGCCTCTTTAACTTGCTGGTGCGAAGCGGTGCCCGGACTTTAGGCGGGGAGGGGAATGTTGCAAAGGGTGAAGGCTTGATTGAGGCAGGGATTCCTACCTCCTCCCTCAAGCTTCAGGCTCAGGTCAGATCGGGCTGGATTTGGGACTGCACTTCCGGGGCCGCTGGTGTGAGAGGGATTTATTAAGACAGTCAAACAGCGTGAACTCCCCACTAAGATTCCACCGTAATCTGTACAACAGACAGGAACATTGTTGCTGCTGTTGTCGTTGATGGGAATTGTTTGGGAAGGAGTCCTGGCAGAAAATTCCGCGTGCAATTTTGCTGTGAGCCGTTCACATTAAATAGGCGCCAGGCGAATGAAAACAAATTTGAGAGCAAAGGACAAGAAACCGACTGCATATCAACAGAGTTGTGCAATTGTCTTCAAATTCAGGCTTGAATTCGCAATTTTCCCAACGAGAACTGTATAGATTAGAACCAGAGATAGTAGGAACTGCAGATGCTGGAGAATCCGAGACAACAAGGTGCAGAGCTGGATGAACACAGCAGGCCAAGCAGCATCATAGGAGCAGAGAGGCTGACGTTTCGGGCCTAGACCCTTCATCAGAAAAAGATTAGAACCATTGTTTCTCCTTGCTTTTGATTTGTAAAGAAAGCAGTGCATATAGCTTGCTACAGTTCGGCTCTTATGTCTTTATTCAAAATATATACACAGCCATTTCATCCCGCGTTTCCAACCCCCCACCCCTATTCCTCGTCAGTTTAACAATACTTTAATAACTTAAAGGATGCACTCGATTAGGCTTGGTAATTTAAAAGTTGTTGTGAGAGATTACGAAACAGAACCAGGGAATTTTTTTGGTTTTACAAATAACAGCGTATTGTTTTAGGGCTAAGATGGCATACCATAAATTTTGCAACACGGGTTCTATTTTCTAATGTATAAATGGGGAAGGAAAGGATGTGAAAAAAAAATAAAAATGGGTCCCGCTTTCTCAAAGATAAATTAACCACGTGTATTAATCTTCAGCTTTTTTGAACATTGATTTTTTTTTTCTTAAAAAAAGATTATGAACAGGAGGCTGAATCTGCTGAGCAGTCCACGTCAAAATGTGTTGCTTGAGGACTTAGTCCAGGATTCTGATCGGTCAAATTAAATGAACAAAAGAACCCAAAAAAAAACCAAGACGGGTTAATATATGAATGGAATTGCACTCATTCCCCCACCCAAAGAAAATTAAACCGATAGAACTTCTTACATACAAGGCGAGGTAGTAAGTCTGTATCGCCTTGTGTCCGAATGTATTTGTTCCTTCGGAGAGATTCAACAACGTGCAGAGATTCCAATGTCAAAAAGTTTAAAAAGGACGCAAAGAAATTGCTTTATTTTAAATTTAAAGCAGTTAAATCCATTTGTGCCTTCTTCCTATTCGCTGGCAGAGTTCACTCCCTGTGTCGTTTTAAAAATTTTCCCAATTCCTCACTTAGAGATACTCAAATATAGTTTCGCTTCATCTCAGTCAATCGTCCACTTCGATTTCCTCGTCTTCAGAGAATTCATCAGTAGTCTGATCTCTGGAGGAACACTGAGGCGAGCTGGGAAAGGGCCCGAGTCCAGGCGCCGGGGACGGTTTTGGGGAAAGGTCCGTGGGCTCGCATTTGGAGCTGGCCCCGTCCTCTGGGAACACGTCCATGTGAACCAGTCTCTCCAGCTGCTGGGGCGGCAGCTTCTTCAGGGACTCCACGTCGGCTTTCATCTCCTCCAGGTCCCGCTTCAGTTTGGCCCGCCTGTTCTGAAACCACGTTATCACCTGGGCGTTTGTCAGGCCCAATTGCTGAGCAATTTGATCCCTATCAGCGGGAGACAAGTACTTCTGATAAAGGAACCTCTTCTCCAGCTCGTAAATCTGATGGTTAGTGAAGGCTGTGCGGGACTTTCTTCTCTTCTTCGATGTTTGTCTTTGGCCAAACGTCGTGACATGATCTCGGCCTTGGAAACAAAGAGGGGGGAGAGAGGCTAAATTGTATTTGGTAACTGCACAATTATGATAAAATTCACACGCGCATTCAAACACAATTCTCCAAAACATTCATAGTCATTTGTCTCAGCGTTCCACTCATGTTATGTTGCAACTCCCCTCCCATCTGTTGTTTACTTTTTTAAAGAATCCTTTACTTTCACCAGCGACCCGCGTCCCCTGGCAAAGATTGGCTTGCTTTTATTTTAGTTTTGAAACAAGTGTAGAAGGGTGGTTCCTGGATCATTGTCACAGCAGCGGAATTTCCAAGTTCTGCATTTTGTTTTTTGCGAGGGACCACACAAACAGAAACCTATGCGCACGCAGGTAGGCCAATTCGACATTTATTCACGGTTTACAATGCAATCTGCTTCTATCCGTCGACAGAATGCTGTCTCCTATGCAGAGTGCAGAGGATGACACATACAGTACGAGTAATGTCACACCACACATGTAAACGTGTTTATAAAACTGTTCTGCGTTTTCATCTGTCCGGATTGTGCAACGGTTAAGTTTGTATGGACTTGAATGCATCCCTTTCTGCAGAAGTTATATTTACGTACCAGATATACATGACATCCACTTAGACAGTATGTAGAAATTGTAAACATAATTACCTGAAGACATAATAATTGCTAACACTTGATGGACACACTAGCGTGTGAGTTCATATATTTCCCAACAGCGCATGCTGCGCGTATAATAGTTTATTTTCAATTTCCCCAGCACAGGAAACTGATATTTAAATGAAAACTTCCCCGCTACTTGTGACGATCGATTAACTTCTTATTTTTGCTTCCTGAAATCGGGTAACTTTGACTGGCGCATCTCTCCGCTCTCAGGCTGAGTGAGATGTTACCTTTCCCCTGTTAACCAACAGCTAGGCTCACAGTTATAAATATTTTCAAACACACACAAAAAAAGTTGACAATTCTTCCCTCTCAAACCCCCAGCCCTGACTCATAAACACTTATTTTTCCCCCTCCAGTGTGTAAGTTTAAACATCATTTGCTGCAGATATTTTCACGAATCGTGATCTGCTAGATTCCACATTTTAAAAAGACCCTTTCACCTCTTAGGATTTACTAAAACAAAATATGGAAGAGCCTCGCTCATTTTTCAAAGCTCACAAGTGTCCCAAAATAGCAAATATAGCTTCTCTGTATGTTGTAAAAACAGATGCTTGGCGCGCATATGTTTGATATCAACTGCTGTTCTGGGGTGCAAAACTTCCATGAAATAGTTTAATTTACGTCTATTGAATCACACGCTGTTATATGGGATACAAGTTATTCAGATTCCCTAACTTTTAATCTTACATTTAAACAATAAATCACTGCAAAAAAATTGTAAAGAATTGATTCGATTAAGTGTGACACTGAAGGGGGGGAATTGCTCTTACTTTCTAAAATGTATAATATATAAATCTAATCAGGAAACTGAATAAAATATTTTTAAAAATTGGCACACAAACATTCCAGCCCTACATTCAATTTTTGTCTCTCAGTGAGCGGGCTTGCTACGAAAGTATTAATATTTCATCAAGTGGTAATGGCTTAAGGAGCCGAGTGGAGATAGGGACTGAGGTGCATTAGCTCTTAAGGTATTTGAACATCTTTCGGACTGAACCGTACCTCAGCGTTAATAACAATGCCCACGTATAGACAAAACAGTTGCTTTTATACAATCAACTTGGATGATTCAAACGGACGAGAAAGCTCTCTCAATATTTTTAAACAATTTCAAATAATTTTAAATAATTCAAATAATTTCAGTCTCGGTTTGTGGCGAGTGGTCAAAAAATCTATCGAGACAATTGTCACTCGCTTTTTTTTACAAAGAGAAAACATTATTTGATACAGAAAGAAGTTTGCCGCCTGGTTACAGTGTGGCCAAACAGCTGGGACAATACATTGATTTGTCTTCCTATGTTAAATAAATTAGCAGAAAAAAATACAAATGAAGAGGGGGAAAAAACGTATACCCCTAGCCAGGATTCGCAAGAAACAATCTACCCGTTTTAAACAACACCCTGAAAGATACAGGCGAGCTAATTTACCATCGAGATGTGTTTATACCAAAAACTACTGCCTGATACTGATTGTGAAAGGCACAGGCAAAATCGAGAACTGTTTAAAATAGATTACACTGCAAAGAAACTGTACACGTCTCAACCCCTTTCAGTGAAACTTAACCAAAGTACATTTTAATTTAAAATAGTTTATGAGCGGTTTTTAATCTTGCACTATCTAAAACGTCATTTGAAAGAATCGATTGGCTAATATATATATATATTTAAAATGTGTATATATCTGAGATATATATTTTTCCCTCTCTTGGAAGTAATTTGCATCCCAATTTAACTGTTTTAAATAAATAAATAAAAGGTTTGTTAAAATACCTTCGGCCGCTTGTATTACACTCAATTCCAGACCCTTGAAAGTTTTACTGGCGAGTTCTTCCAGAGCACAGAGTGGCGAAGCTTGAGAGGCCAGCCCGTTCCTGACAACCCCGGGACCCGATGCTTTCTCGGGGCCGCCCGGGTGGCTGGAGGAGCAAAGATGGGAAGTTTTTTTCACCGAAGGCTTGTTCAGGATATCCTCAATGCTGAAAGGCGTGAGCGGCTTGTTGGAGTTAGCCGGAGGAGGGAAATGATCCAGGGGACTCCGACGCCTTCGCTCCTCGACTCGGGGCGGCAAAGCCGGGTTCGATTTCAGATTTACCCCAGACGTCATTCTAGGGGGGGAGGTGGAGGAGAGAGAGAGAGAGAAGCAAGAATTCTCCCTTCAATGTTTCTTTCTGTCTAAAATCCAGGGGAGGGAAGAAAACAGCTTTGCTGGAACTCTCTCCCCAACAGTTACATGGGTTGGGGGGGGAAAGGGGGTCTGGTGGGGGTGACTTTCCGCCCCCTTGCCCCTTGCTGATTTGGGGGCAGTTTGAAATCTTCGCCAACTTTACAGGATGCAGCTAGCCTCGCTCATTCGAACTAGACGTCTTCATTTTTTCCAGGCCCGAAAGATTCAGTTCGTACCAGCCCTAAGCTTGTATTTAGTAAAGTGTTTTTCTCTCTCTCTCTCTGTCTGTAATCCACTGTCCTACCTGGGGAGGGGAACTCTCTCTCTCTTTCTCTCTCTCTCTCTCTCTCACGCACACACAGCTTGTTCTGTCTCTTCCCCCTCCCTCCCGAGCGCCCGCCCCCTCTTTAACAAAAAAAAGTGAAGCCAATGCACAACACCAAGTTTCAGAAGGGAAACCGGCTGTTCAGTCGTATCGTTGATTGGAAGGAGATCAATTATCAGAATGGGGGCACAGCACCATTGGCCAGCGGAAGCCGTCTTTTCAAGGGGTCTAGTTAGATAATTAATTGGGCACAGCAATGGGAGGAGTTAGAGTCAGTGTTAGCAAACTTTGGCTCTCCTCTCTTTCTCCTCTCCTGCCTTTGCTGGCATTGTGTTCCTGCTCTGTGTGAGAGAGAGTGTGTGCATATATTTTAGTGTAGGTGACAAAAGCTGCTTTTTCTGGCGGGTTGCGGAGGGGAAGGGGGTAGGGTGCTGGGGGAAATGGAGAACGAGAGAGAGCGAGAGGAGGGATGGAGGAAGAGGGGCCAAGAGTGGGAGAAGGGAGGAGGACGGAGTACGTGAGTTGTATGGCTTGAGAGGAGATGGGGGTGGGGGGGTGGTCGAGGAGAGGATAGTGGGTAAGGAGAGGCGAGTGTGTGGAGGTTAGGTGAGGGAAAGAGAGAGAGGGGAGGCAACACAGGACAGGGAGGTGGACTGAAGGGATGGGTTGCTTGAAGGGAGATAGAAGGGTGAGGGAGGGAAATGGGAGGGGTCTTGAGGGTAGATAGAAAAGGCGATGGAGGGAGATGGGAGGGTGGTTTGAGGGGAGAAAGAGGGAGAGAGGGAGGGTGGGTTGAGGATAGATAGAGGGGGGTGAAGGAGGGAGATGGGAGTGTTGTTTGAGGGGAGATAAAAGGGGGTGAGGGAGGGAGATGGGAGGATGGGTTAAGGGGAGATAGGGGCGAGTGAGAAAGATGGGAGTGTGGGTTGAGGAGAAATAGAGTGGGTGGGGGAGGGAGATTGGAGAGTGGTTTGAGGGGAGATAAGAGGGGGTGAGGGAGGGAGATACGAGGGTAGGTCGAGGGCAGATAAAGGAGTGAGCGACAGAGATGGGAGGGAGGATATGGGGCTCAATAGAAGAGGTCGGAGGGTGAGTTGATCTGAGGGTCAAGAGTGGGCGTGTGAGCGGGCAGAAGGGTGTACGTATCAGTAAAGTTGAGGGGAGTTGGGTGCAGGGGGAATTTGCGGAACTGTGTTGGGGAGAGAGTGGGAGTTTGGGAAATTGTAGTGGGAAGAGAGAGTGGGTTAGAGAGGTGGGATAGGAACAGATGATGAGTGAAGGAGAAGAGGGTTGTGTTGATAGGGGGGAGGGTGGGGAGTAGGGGAGAGGGATCCACGTGGTCCTCTGCTATCGGGGGAGAAACCAGCTTCACTTGTCAGTTTCATTGACGTAACGCCGGGGGTACTAATCGCCAAGTGCCGGGTTATTAGCGAACTTTTAAATCTTCCACCCAGCCCATTGCAATGGTCGATAAATCATGTGCAGACTTTTACATTTCTTCCTCTATCTGTTTGCCACCCGCACAGAGTGAGCAGTCTTGAAGCACTCGATTGCAACCTAATTCAAAAGTCTGCAGACTCAAATCGAGTCAAAACGCAACTCAGAGAGGTAGGTAGTAAATCAAAATTTTACGTTCAAAGCTCCGGCTATTACCGCGCCGATTACCAGGGGGTTTCCTCGATCAGGACCAACATCAGCGTTTTTATAGGGCGTACACAGATATTATTGTTTTTATAATTATTTTTAGAGACTGAGTAAATATTTATACCTCGCACCAACCAGAGAGGGTGCTTATCACCCAGCCCTCCCTTTTCGTCCACGGAACATGTCAAGCTTCTCTGAGAGAGAGAGAGAAAATTGCGATTCTTAACTGTTGACTTCAAAACCCGCTCCCCATTTTACAACCGAAACTCAGCGGTCTCTGCTACTTAGCAGAAAAAAAACAGCGTCAAAGTAAACCGTTTGTGTACATACATACAAAAATTAAAATCCTTAAATTTACTCCTGAATTTAATCCTGAAATCGACTGGAAACAAATCAATTCTGCATCAGGAGTTCTGTCAAATCATTACCTTTCGGCTTGTGATCTCAACATAAACCGCTGGGTTTGTGCTAAATGAGCGAGGCGGGGATTTTTTTTTTGGGTCACAAGGGTAGGCAGAAGGAACGGGTACACCTCCAGAAATGATCTATTCGGGTCTCCTTCCACCTGACCCTTACCTGGCGAGCCCCTCCTGGCTAAATTGGATCCCACTTGTGCCACCTTTTCAAACAAAAAAAAAGTGAATTTTCATTAACTGCATCCGTTCTGCTTTCCTACATGCCCCACTTTTGGAATTGTACATATCAGCCATGAAAGACCGACGTTCAGATATAACGTGTCTTTGCACAGATTCTAAATATTACGCACGTAGAATCACATGGCGTCTTTGTTACACAAGCAGGCGTAGCCCACATCCCAATGCAATTACATTTGTTTAAAGATAGTAGGAACTGCAGATCCTATGATGCTGCTTGGCCTGCTGTGTTCATACAGCTCTACACCTTGTTATCTTCCATTTATTTAAATACATCTTTGTAAATGTACACTGTCAGTGTCTTTAGGTATGATATAGCGTGTGTCCCACAGAGAGCAGGGTAAAAGGAGAATGAGACGAGTCAGTTTATTACTGCAGTTGGTCGGTCGATTTCTCGTTGTTCCATCTCGATTTTTTCCCATCGGATTTCGATGTTTGGTTTTCCCCCCTTGTTGTGTCTTCTGAGCTTGTTTTTGTTTTGTGTCCATGCAGGTTTTGTTGATTATTTTTTAAAAAATCTTCCACCCCCCACCCACCCACCCCCCAATGCGCGCGCGCACACACAACACAGCGCTTATAATTTCTCAATGGATTACTCAGAGTGTGATCGAAAGAAGAGACGTTTTTGAGCTTTAATTCATGCGGGACCGAGCGATGGTTCCGTCGGTATCCTGACTCTCTCTCTCTCTGTCTGTCTTCAATCCCTGCACCTTAACGCAGGAGCAATTGTAAACTATCAAAGGAAAGCAGGTGCTCCACCGGGAAGGTGGGGAAGGGTAGGGAATAAATGCTTAAAACCCTCTTTATTGACAGACGCCCCTTTTCAACTCTGCACCGAGTCGATTAAAGCCAATCATTCTGCCCATATATCAGGACCCAGTTTAGAGAATTAAACCGCTTGCTCTCTCGTTAAATTCGAGTCTTGATCGAGAACGAATTTCTCACACCGGTGAAGATATAAATTGCCTCACTTCCCTCGCAGCAATTATGGATTTTATTTACAAGCCCTGGGAGCAAAACGAGAAGAAAAAAGGACGAACTTTTACAAGCTCGTGAAAAAGTGTAGAACCAGATTAGTAACAGTATTTCTTTTTTATATTTTCTAGGTATAAATGTCGCTGTATCCAAATAGCCACCATCAAAAGCCCAGATTTTAAGATGGAAATGATTACTGGGAATCGAGCTCGTTTTTAACTTCAGGGAGGGGAAGGGGGCGAGTTTTAAGTTACATTTGACTAACAGACAATAAAAAATGGTTACAAATAGGCCCGTGTGATATATCACTTAGCTTCTTAATAGCGACCCCTTTATTTTTCCCTTCATGAAACGACTCGCCAGATGTGTGTCGTTACTGACGAGAGCTTGCACTCAGGTGAACTCCGCCGCTCAGTCCCCTTCCTTCACAGAATAGAGAGAGTGAGAGAGAGAGAGACTGAATTATCTTCACCGCACCATGCAGTACGCACAAGCCACAGATCAGAGATGAGGGAGGCGCATTCAATCGGAAGATCCGGTATAAAACAAGTTTACAGCGAAAATATGACAAGATTTCAGAACTGAGCCAAACAAGGTGCTTCACTTCAAAAACAAAATTCTACTGGATGTTCACGGCCACAGAGGGAATGGGAAGTGTATTTGTAATAGACATATCATTCTAAGTTTTCTGTATCATTTTGAATCCGAATTCTCCAAATTATGTACTATAGTACTTTGAGATAGGCTGTGAGGTGTAGCTAAAGGTGAGTACCGCCCCGATTGTACCTTTCTTCCGAAAAAAACAAAATTCACTTTCATTCATACATTTGCATTTTGAAATAGCAATGAAACGAAAATGAATTCATGCCAGATTGGCCTTCAGTACCCTGAAATCCAAAAAAAAAGCTACAATGGAATGTAATGCCACAGTGTTTAGAGAACAGAACTGGCTCATTTTATAGATAGGAATTACTGAAGCGAAGTGTCAAAAAATAATAATTCATTGAAGCAGTTTCGATCATTTTTGCGTAACATTTAATTGAGGCTATCGGCCAATGTCGACCTGAATTTGTATCCATATGAAAACAAACATCAGTTTGATATGGGAGAGTGGATTAAATAACTTTTCTTTTTAAGTAAACGGATTATCTGTTGGGCAGGAGCTGGGGAAAATTCTGCCAAAGACTGGTCGTTCCCCTCCTCGACACATTTTCCGTTTTAATTTTTAAAGGTGCCAATCTGCATTCACCGCTGGTAGCAATGAAATGAACGGAATCAGCTGGGCTCCACGTCGTCACAGGAACTCGCCGCTTACGGCAACAACAGCGAAAACTATTTGATAGTGTCTGCCTCTTTTTTTATTTGGATGTCACTATATCATGGTGCTTGTTTTAATTTTATTTTTTAATTTCTTTTGGAATTCAAATACCTTTTTTTGGTGCCTAGACATGTTAAGAAGTGTTTTATTTGAACTCTCCGCTTTTTTTTCTTTGGGTATGTTTTGGCGTCTCTGCTTTGCAATCTTTATTTTTTTAAAGTCTGTGTTTTTCAATCTTTTTGTTGCAGTTTGGTTTTGCAGTTTGTTTTTCTTTTTGCTATCTGTAGTTTCTTCAGTCTTTTTATTTGCAATTTGCGTTTTATGTCCTTTTTTAGCAGCCAGTGATTTTAGTTTTGTTTTGCAATCTGTTTTTCGTAGTCCATGTATTTTTCATTGTATGTTTTTTGTAGTTTTTGTTTTGCATTCTGCGTTTTTATGCGGCCAACATTTTTGTACAGACTGTGTTTCTGCACTTTGTGTTTTATGCAGTTCATATTTTATACAGCTTCGGTTTTTGCAGCTTGTGTTATAAAGCCTGTGTTTTTAAACAGACTATGTAAATTTTGTGCAGTTACTTGCGTAGATTGGATAGATATATACATAGATTTTGTGCTTTTTACAATCCATGTTTTGTAGCCTCTTTTTTGCAGTCTATTAATTTTGCATTACTTTTTTTAAGTTTTGATTTTGCAATATGTTTTCAGCGGTTTGCCCATTTAGATGACAACTTTCTCTTTTTTAAACATATTTTTGTTTCTTCTCTGCTTTTGGTTCTTGTTTGGGTGTACACTTTTAGGAATCTGGATATTTTAGTATGTTAAATCTAAAACGTTACTAAAAATATTAAAAACACTGATGTGAAATCCTGACAATAGCCAATGGCACCTTGTTTAAACAAAAAACAATTATTATGGTGTCCTCCCTGTGTGATTATGGTGGTGAGATGGAATTGAAAACATTGAAATGCAATAATTTAAAATAATTGGAGACAGGAACCTGGTTACATGTAAACAGTAACCAGGTCAGCTCTCTTCTTATGGGTCAGCAGTTGGTTCAATTGAAGTCTGGTTATAAAGCAATTTATTTGATTTCACTGTATTTAATAATTCAGTGGTCATGGCATGTTATTTTATGCAGCCACACTAATATACAACACAGTTTACATGTATATGGCACCTTAAATGTTGGGAAAAAATCCCAGAGAGTTTCACTGGAGCATTATCAAACAAAATTTGACATTAACGTGAAATAGGAGTTATTAGAAGAGGTGATCAAACGTTTGATGAAAGAGGTGGGCTTATGCCCCTGAGTAGGGGCGCACATGCACGCATTCACACAGATGTAGAGACACACTCCCACACACAAATACTAGAAACAGTCACACAGACTGATAGACAGATATGTATGAGCACTCACCACACAGAAAAAAGCATGCAACACTCAGTAACACATATAAACAGCCACACAATTCACGCACATGCACACATACAGCCAGATAGAGTCAAACAAGCACCTCAATAGAAAAGCAGTGAGACAAGTGTGCACATAAAAATATACCCACATGCACAGTTACTTAGACACACAGGTGTACACACGTACACATAAGCAGGCACATGCACATGCACACACATGTGCAGACTCACATACATGCACCTGCACACATTTATCCACAACATAATTCTAAACTGTTTTATTTCAGTGTCCACATGGTTAAGTGTACATTAAATGAGAGTCATGGACTGGGCAATATCCTTGGTGAGTGGTCTAATATTGGCTAGAGGTTGAACTTAGCCCCACATTCAACCCGACTCTTTGACCTAACAGTTCAGGGATCAAGGTGGAAAACAGTAATTGAGTGACTCCTTCTAGTCCCTCAGGCTCCTGTCTGTTATTGAAACCTCCTAGACTCCCAGCCTTTACAGGTTTACATGGAAATCTCGAAGGCTGAAACCAGAGAATGGGTTCCAGGTTCCCGATGGTTGAAACAAATTTAATGTAACCCTTAACACACCCTCAGTCACCTCCCTTGTTCTTCTCTATGACTGTTCCTCTAGAATTGTATGTTAAAAATATATACAGAAGAATTGTGCAGTTTGTATAAAGATCCAGATTAAGAATCAAATTTGATGGTGAAAGAAGCAACACAAAATTATCTTTAGTGTTTTTGTAGACACACTTTGTTGGATTGTAGGACTTAGGGAAAATATTTCCAATTGTAATTCTACTGTGGGTGAAGGCAGCCAGACATTCCAATGTGCTGTAAACATTATCTCAGCTCCTATTCTGATTAGTGTTGATGGCAAAACAGTATTTAATCATTTAATCCAACTACACATGAGGTAGACACCCTTTGAACATGGAGATACTGTGTCACACTTATTACTATTTAAATATAAAAAATAGGAACACAAGCTCAAATATAACACCTAGGCACATCTATGGACAGATACACATTCACAGAGATAATGTACAAAGTTCTAAAGATTAACACACACTCTAAAACTCTGACAAACACATAGACAGATGCACATTCGGATCAGACATGCACAAAGATGTGCATGTTCAGAAAGACACAGACTTTGGACAGATATACATACCCAGGCATACACACAGACAGGTACACACACATAGACATAGACACACACCCAGGCGCATACACAGACAGATACACTTTCATAGATGTACACGCTCAGACATATACAGGAATGCATACCCACAGTTATACACAATTGGGAACAGTCGGATACACGCTCAGGGATACACACTCAGGTACACACACTCAGGTACAAACCTGTAGAAATACATACTCAGGTAAACTCACTGACTGATACACAATCACAGATGTACACAGCTCAAGCAAGCACTCAGATATACACAGGATACAGACATGCACATTCACACAACACATGGGCAGGTATGTACACACATACAATTACAGAAATGCACATTCACAGATTCGCACAGACAGATATTTGCGCACAGACAGATATTTGCACTCAGATTCACGCAGATACACAGGCATGCATTGACAGAAACAAAGATAGCTGTACACACAGATATACACTCTTTGGAGCACAACACACTCATTTCATACTCAGAGACAAAGGAAAGAGGCTCTCAGACATCCAATAATCGAATGTGTATTTTCGGATGAACACGTATCCAGATAGGGCACTCCGACCTGGGATGTGTGAAGATTTATTTGCAATGGACTCATATCCCATTGCACAGGCCAAAAGCTTCACATATTTGTTTATTTCGAAATGGCAAGGGATGTCATAACAAAAATAAAATCGTTACAATTCGATAGGGCACATTCATATTCGATGAAATCTGTTTGAAAGATGTACAGTGTATGACGATGTCAAGCTAAAAAAAAAACAAACACTTAATATTTCCAGCCTATTGAATTGAATGCTTGGGTACAGTTCCTAATAACAAACTCTGCCATTAAGGCGGATAACGCTCTGGTCTATTGAATTTGAAATCCTTCCCAGCCCTCCCCAGTGTAAATGGAAAGTAAATGGTCAGTGATCAGTAATCCTCCAGAGGCATCCTTCCCCAGCGGGTGAGGTGCCAATCGGTTCCCAATGATGGATGTTCCGTTTTCTCCAGCGTGCACAGACTTCGCCCGCGACCTGACTGATTCCGCCAACAACGCCATATGGTGACGCGCATGTTGGGACAAAAAATGAAGCCAAACGCAATGACACGGTGTAATTGGATCAGCCCAGAACATGGTTAGATTGGAACTGACAGACACCGACGGAAAGATAGGCTCTCACACCTCAAAACACACACACACACACACACACACACACAGAGTCCACATATGCACATCGATAGGCATACATACAGTGTATAGGCATACATACACTGACAGAAAAAAAATATAGATAGTGAGACTGAACAAACTCAGCTTTCAGCCTGCCTCACACCAACATTTAGAGGAGAATGCACCATTGCTTATAACACGTACTGCAGCACTTTGGAACAGATCATTATTGGTCCAGCGAGCGAAGCCCACATCCCCTGGGTAATTTATACTTTTTTAATTTGAGGAACAGAGCACGAACAGAAACTCATACAGTTCACTTTATACACACACATTCACACAACCCATCTCTCGCCCACCAACCCCCTCCAACACACACACACAGAAACCTGCAGTTTCATTCCATTGAAAATAGGCATGTCTTACTCTCCCGCTCACCACAGAAATAGGACCTGCAGTGAGTCTTTCAGAACCTTGAGATTCTCCACCATTCAACAAGTTAATGGCCGACTTCCCACTTCTACTCCAACCTCTCAGATGGACAATTATTTAACTCCCCCAGTGGCCAAAAAAATCTAGCGATCTCGTTCTTGAACATGCTCACAGACTGAGCACAGACCGCAGCTCTCTGGGATCAAGAATTCCCAAAATTTCACAAGTCTTCAAGAGAAAACAAGCCTGTTTTCATGAACAGGTGACCCCTCATTCTGATATTATGATCCTGTGTTCAAACTTCCACACTACGGGAAGACGTTTTCTCACTATCTTCTCTGTTGAGCTCCCTTAAGAACGGTCGAACTTTTAACCTTTATTTTTCTACCTTTAAACTTGATGCCTGGTTTATTTCTGTGGTTTTAAGATGACGCAGGAGGGTGGCGACATTGAACATCGCTTTTCATTCTATTTGTAACAAATATGTCACAAATACACGTGACAATCAATTCGTGTGCATGTAAGTTTGTACACATGCAACATATGCATGGTAGTGCATCTCTAATGCACACACACACACTGCCAGACACACAATACATGCTCAGGCACACGAACACGTATATGTTATTCACTCATAGCAAAGAAACAATTCCACACAAAGACATACAGTGTACACCTTGTCTTTCAAAAACTATCAGAGAATTCTCAAGAACACAAAAACACACCAACTTTTTTATGTACTATCTAACTTCTAAGACTACTTGTCTTAGACAATGGTTGTAGCGCAATGTTTTACTTTTTGAATTGTTATTTTGATTTCACACCATCTTGTAGCTTGTCTTCCATGCTTAATTGTCTCACAGTCTCCCTTTCACATATTGTTTCTTAGGTGTTCACTCTTTGTCTCAGACTCTT